TAGCGCCAAGCAGCCTCCGCAGCAGCAGCCAGAGCCCCCTCCGGCCCCCTCCTCCCGCGAGGAGACGTGCCACTTCCTCAATGCTATCTTCCTCTTCCTCTTCAGGGAGCTCAGGGACACGGCCCTGGTCAGGAACTGGGTCACCAAGAAGATCAAGGTGGAGTTCGAGGAGCTGCTCCAGGCCAAGATGACGGGGAAGGTGCTGGAGGGGCTCAGCCTCAGGGACGTCTCTCTCGGCAACGTCCTGCCTGTCTTCAAAGCTGTCAAGCTCATTCGGCCGGTGGTCTGCAATGAAGAGGGCTGCCCCGAGGAGCTGGGCTTTGAGGTAGACCTGGAGTACAACGGTGGCTTCCACTTGGCCATCGATGCTGACCTGGTCTTTGGAAAGTCGGCCTACCTCTTTGTCAAGATCTCCCGGGTGATGGGGAAGCTGAAGCTGGTCTTCACGCGCCTGCCCTTCACGCACTGGTCCTTCTCTTTTATGGATGATCCTGTGATACTGTTTGAAGTGAAGTCTCAGTTTGAAGGGAGGCCTATGCCTCAGCTCACTTCCATCATTGTGAACCAGTTCAAGAAAGTTATTAAGCGCAAGCACACCTTACCCAATTATAAAATCAGGTATGAAGTCCTGCGTCCTCGACGTTACTTTGGGTGGCGTGCGTTAACTTAGTAGATTAAAATGAGATTTCTGTTGGCCCTTCTACAGTAGGGGTACTTGTACATTGCTTGTCTCATATCAAAAGCTTTCCATGAAGGTAAGCATGGTTTTCCATTTATAATAGATGAAGAAGCCATCGCACAGTGAGATTGTGACATGCCCCAAACTATATGTAACTAAATGGCAGAATTAGTAGGTGTCAAAAATTTTGGGAGCCTGTCAGGTGTCCAACAACAGGACTGTGATACTCCTCTTTGGAGAAGGTAGAAGGATGGCTCTGTGGAACAATGTGTGGTTTTGGGGTGTCCTTCTCCCAAGCCTCTGCCACTGGTGAGCCACCTGGGCAAGACTTGTGGCTTATGCTTACCTATAGAGGCAAGGTGGTTGTTACTTAATGTGAGAAAGGATAAAGTTCACTCTAGGGAATATTTTTGAGATCCCATGGTAGTTGGTGTCCTCTTCCTTTTCAATTTGCTGAATTTCTTCAATAACTTTGGGGAAATCTAAAAGTTAAGAGAAGTATTGCCACTGTTGTGGTCAGTAAAACTTTGGGGGAACTCTTGGGGTTTTTTTGTCTCTTATTGTAAGATAGTATGTTTTCTTTTTATAAATGCACACACTGCAGCACAGATTGCGCTATATATTGAATATAATGAAATGTTCAGTGATATTTCTGTAGCAGAAGTGGCAAGTGGCATCTTTACTTTGATTCCACCCTCATTTCTGATTAAAAGATAGTGAATATCTTACCACTGTTCAGGTACCATGTTCCCTTTCTGTCATGTGTCTTACCATTCTTGGGATACCATGTTTCATTTCTCTTTTGTTTATTCTTTGTAGTTTGTATTATGTGTTAAGTAAGGATTTTTGTTTTGTTTACCACATTCTTCTGCAATAAGCCTTTTCTCTGAAATTCCTCAGAGATGAGTAACTGAAAATGCCTATTTGAATTTTGAAGTGTAATTAGCTTTGCAGTGATGTAATTTTTAAAGCCTTTTCAGCTGGTTCTTCTGCAATTGAATTTATAAGAGTTCTCATGAAAATGGATGTGTAAAATATCCAAGATTTAGAAAGCCCTAAAAGGGCAGTAAGTAGTTTATTCAAGCAATGTGGTGGCCCTTTCAAATTTTGAGGTACTAAATTGCTCTCCAGAAGGCCCTGGGCAGCAGTGAAGCTGTTAAGGGCAAGTTCAAGTTTGCTTCCATTCTTTTACTGTGTTGGAAAGAGACTGCAGCCTGTTAACTGTGGAGAAGAGCCCAAAGGGGAGGCTGGGATAGCACAGTTGTGCAGAGTGAGCACTCTTGGCATAGCTAAAAAGAGCAAGTAGAGCAAATGATCTTTACGCTCTCTAGACAAGTTTTTAGAGGGCCTGTGGAACCAGTGATGATGTGCTCCTCCCCTTCAGCAGAGGAAGACAGACATCTTCATTTTTTCCTCTGGGAGATGCACCTGGGCAGTAGGGCACTCTTATCATTTAGTTAGAGGTAATGAATTTTCCACATATTTCTCACACTTTATGCACCAGAAAGAATGGATGAGGCATGTGTGAGCCACTGACATGTTGAAGGGACTGGCGGGGAAAATAAGGAAAGAAGCAGAGCGCAGACAGAATGAGTAGAAGTGTGAGGAACTGACACTGAGAACAGTATAGGAAGCATAAATTATTAGAGAACTAAGAAGAATGAACTGTTATTTTTAAAATGCTCTCTTTAAGTTATAAGGAATTGGGAATTTATGAATGCTTGAGAGGGAAATACAGTATCTTAGCTGTTTTTCACACTAGATAGTAGGCTGGTAGCACAGGGTGGCAAATGTTCGGTGAAACAGTGTCCAACCCTGTGTACGGTGCTTTTTACCTTTAAATTTTATGCCATGTTCTGAACATGTCATTCTGACCCACTGTGTTGTGAAGGGGGAAGGGAGGACACTAAGCTTAATGTGAATTAATGAAATTATCTTAAGGAAGGAAGATTGGGTTGTTGGTGTCCTAACTGTCTAGAACTTTGCCTTTAAAGCTTCAAGTGGGAACACAGACCCCTGCATGGGAACCTTTAGCTGTCGGTGAACCTTTAGCTGTCCACAGTTGCCCAAGGTTTTGTGGCACACAGGCTGCAAACATGTATTCTCCACCAGCACATCTCAGATGAGTTTATGTATGTAAAACCCTAGACAGCAAAACTTGGTAACAGCCAAGTAGTAATGATACACTCTTATGTGGTGGTATAGTTGAGAACTGAGGCATTTTGGTTGAAGTGGTATGGAGAACTGATTTGGAAAATCAAGCCCCCTGCTGATAAGATATGAGATTTGGTAATTTTAATAAAAATTGTAAGAGTACGTTGGCTTGGGATTATGGTATGTTAATATATTCCTTAGCAAAGAATGTATAGGAAGAAGTCAGGAGAGTTTCACAACTGCTTAATAACCTGTTACCTTACTTAAAGCTTAACAATTTATCATCTACAGGGAATGTGCTTATCCTCTCTCCATTTTTTTTTCTTATGGCCTATATGCCTTTTGTTTAAGTACATAGTCAATGTTTGCTTCCATATGTAGTTCAAAACCTTTTTGATGTCTCCCTACGCTTGCTCAAGTAACTTTATAAATAAATCTTTGAATAGCAGTAATTACAACCTTGTAAACAAAAGCACTTGGAGTGCGGGAAGTTCTCTCTTCAGCTGGTTAAAGGGGTGCTTTGTTACCCTGCTAGCTTCCAGATTGAAGCCCACAAAGGAGTTTTATCTTGTTTCAAGATGCTAAGTAGCATTAAAAATTAAAATATGCCATTTTCTTTGCCTTTTGTATTGGGTGGCTTCTAGAGGTTCTTAGTTGGTAGTGAATGGCCTAAGAAGAGAACTTTTGCCAGTAGTTGATTTTGAACGTCCTATAACTAAGTTTGTGTAAAGCGCATCCCCCCCATTATCTAATTGTAAAATACTGTATTAAAATAAGTGTTGTGTCTTCACGTGTGTATTGTCTGTTGCTGCAGCCAAATTACTACACACATACTTTTGTATTCTTTCCAGTTACGTACAAAATTTTATGCAGCAAAGCAGTGATTAGTAAGATCATGTTCTTTTGTATCATCCATTGCTAGGAGTGACTTTGTGCAATGTGCATAACTGTAGCTTGGAAGTAGAAGGCAGCATCTTGCATTCCTGATGCGCTCTTAAATGTCTGAGGGGAGGCAACATAGTCTAGTAAGTGCATTTTAAAGTTTGCCTAGCACTTTATGTACAATTTTCTCCATAAAAGCAATTGTCTACTAATTGTAAAAGGAGGGATGCACTTTATCTAAACAAATAAGTAGTAATTTGTGTTTTTATTCTGATAGTGTGTAATCACTTTTCTTTGGTGCTTTAGGAAATGTGTTTGTGTCTGGCAAAACACCCTATTTTGAAGCTGCTCTGCCATTGAATGGCAATTGCTATCTCATGTAGTAGAATTTGGTTAAATCTCTGGAAGCAAGGCTGCTGGTAAAATTCAGTGGTAGGCTTTTCTTTTTTCTTTTTTTTAGTCATCATTGATAAAGGATTTGTGCAATTCAATTGGTAGTAGCAAGAATTGCTGCTGTTTTATAGCTAACTTTAATCTTAATGTATTTGTTGCTGCTTTGTAGTAGAAATGCAAACAGGTTTTCTGAAAGCATTGTGGTCTGTCAGAAGTTTCTTGTTCAGATGTGGGGAAGATCTAAAATGACAGGTTTTTTTTTTTTTCTTCTCCAATATACATGAGTTCTGGTGCACTCTTGAGAAACTAGATAATTGTGAGTCAAGATTTTTTTTATAACTAGCCCTAACATCAGTGAGGTAATGACGAGTTGTAGGTATCATTTATTTGGCTCTACATAATCTGTAACTCTATTTTGACTTGAATTAACTGTTTAAATTATACTTTTTTTTAGTTCTAAGACAAGCTGACCAGTGGGTGGAGCTTGAGAATGAGCGTGGAAAGCCTTGACTTCCCCGTTGGTGGTTTGTGATGACAACTATTCGTGTCCTGCAGGGCAGCCACTGACCCACCAGCTGTCTCGCTGTCCTGAAATCTCTGATGCTGGCACTCTCAGGAACCATATTTAGTTGTCTTGCCCATCAGCATAGCTTGACTTGGCGCTGGATTTTTCATGTAGGTTTCTTTTACTAGAGCAGGATGGTAGATTCCAATTAGCAGCACAAAGTGGAATTCATCTAGCAGCCTGAATCCAACCTTTGGTTTTTCATTGTATACACTAAAACAGCTCTTTAAAAGTAGTACCATAGACATTGTTCATGTTGGTTTTAACTTTCTGTATCATGTCCTTTTAATAGTAGGATAAAGCGGTTAACACTAAGCTGTAGTTACTAGCATTGCCATAGCGTGTTTAGTATTTAGAGATACGTAGTAAGGACTATTTCAGGTGTCTGTCTCCTTGCTTACTTGTTGCAGGTATCACAGGTCCACTTCTGTTAGTTCTCTAATGAGCTGTACCTTGCTCATTAACCTATTATTAAGCTGCTTATTGGTGGCAACCTTGATATTCCCCCCCCCATCATGTCACGTATATAGGTACACTAATTATGCTGTATTTTCTAGCCTATTCTTAACAATCAGCTGTACTTTTGTTGTTTTGAACAGGTTCTGATCTCGCTTTGCGTATGTTTTGGAGAGCTTTGGTTTTGGGGCTCTTTCTAGGCAACAAAAATACACTTCGCCATAATGAAGATACAAAGCCTTTTGTGTGTATGTAAAGGATGAGGAGGAAGTACTTGCAGTCTAGTCTCCCACCAGAATTTAATTTCCTGGTATTTCTTAATCAATGATGTAAAAAAAATCTGACAGCTGCTGGTTTTTTTTCTAAATTTAAGGTCTTGCAAGTTCATCCATTTAGATTCAAAGCAGATTAGGTATTGCCTAATCAGTGAGGCAGTTCTGTATATTATAAGAACACTTGGTTTCTCAGTTTGTTACATTAAAAAAAAGT